TTTGCAGATGACATAATCATGTATGTAAAAATGCTGATAGAAGCTACAAAAACTAGCAGAATTGGATGTTTAACAAGTTTGCAGGATACCAGACCAATGTATTTCTTCTAGAATAGTAATAATGTTTTCATTTCCTAGTAATGAAAAGTTGGAATTGAGACTACAAATGCCTAAAACTATGAAATGTTTGTGGATAAATCTGACAAAAGGTATGCATGATTCTACAGTGAAATCATAAAACTTGCTGAAGAAATTTGATTGCGAAGTTACATTTTATTTATGGATCAGAAAAGTAAATATTGTTAATTCAATTCTCCAAATATTGCCCATTCTCCCCAGATTGATTTATATATTTCATTAATCTCAATCAAACTCCCAGGAGGCTTTTTGGTGAAAATTGTAAATTAGTTCTAAAACTCACATGGAAAGGACCAAAATTAGGCACAATGTTTTGAAAACTAGAAGCGTTGTAACCTGGAAGTTGTACACATCTGTTAGAATGTAGAATTGAAAAGATTGACATACTAAATATTGGTGAGGACATAGCAAATAGAACGCTCATACATTACTGTTGAAATATAAAATGAAACAACTTCAGAGAACAATTTAAAAATTTCTTTGAAAGTTAAATATCCAACTAACCATAGTATTCAGGCATTTCACTTCCAAATATTTCCCAAAGAGAAATAAGAGAACACGTACATACAAGGTCTTGTACAACAACTGTTCATGACACCTTTATCTGTAACAGCCCCCACACTGAAAGCAATCCAAATGTCCATCTACAAGTAAAGGAGTAAACTGCGGTATAGCCATTCAAGGGAATACTACTCAGCAAAAGAAAGAAAAACTATTGACAAAAATGCCAACATGGACACATCTCAAAATAATCATGATGACAGCAGAAAGCAAGAGGAATGGTTGCCTAGGGATTGGCATGAAGTGGGAAGGAAGAGTTGAGAGGGTGGGAATATAAACAGATGAGAAGAAGCTTTTCTGGGATAATAGGTAAGTTCATTATTTTGATTGTAGAGGTCATTTCACGTATGTAAAACTTCAAATTTTGTGTTTTAAATAACACAAAAACTCATTTGTTTTAAGGAAAAAAAAGAGAAATGTATGTATTAAGAAGAATACAATCCATCGGTAATTCAGGGAACCTAAATTGTCATTTGTTAAAAGGAACATTACTTTAGGTATGAGGATCAGTATTTCTGAACTCTAATAAAGAAAGAAAGAGAATATGAGTTTACTCCCCATGCCGACATCTCATGAAAATTTAAAATAATACAAGAACAAATGTTTTAAAATTCCTAGCAACAGTAATCCAATATGATATAAGTGTACTCAATTTTAGTTTAATATTATTCTGAACATGCTTGCTTTTCTTCCTTTTAAAAGGGCAAGGAGTATTTTTGCAAAATTGGTGGACTGATAGGCTCATCCCTCACCTTTTGCTGGATAGCCTGGAGTGAGTGGGTCACCAGCACCATTCAAATTTAACACATTTCCTCTCTGGGCTGCAGTTCCAGGAAGATTCCATCCTTTGGGATATGGCTGTACCTCAGGAGCAAAGTAGTCAGCTGGATCTGAGTACAGGATGATTCCTATGGCTCCTGCTAACATGGCATTTTTAACCTGCAGGGGCAATGTGCAATTCATAATGCAGATATGGCAAATGGTTGGCTTATTCATATAAGAAAGACATTAATTTAATAATGGAAGGATATTTAGACACTGCCTTTTATCATACAATTACACATTCAGTTCTCTTGGCTTTGAACACAATTTCCCACCTGTTAGACCTAATAGACTTCCATTATTCCATGGAATTCTAAACAAGTTATCATTTCTTCCGTGAAACATTCCCATTATAACCCACAACTGTAGAATTAATGTTCCTTCTTTGCAGTTCTACATTTTCTATATTATAGGATAGCTCATAATGTATTAAAATATCTTTTAAATGTCTATCTCCCCTATTAGGCTGAGGGTGTTTTTGAAAACATGAACCATGTCTTCTTAATTTTAAACTACTCTAAAATCTTGCAAATCATAGAGTAAGCATTCTACAAATATTTATGGAACTAAACTGATTTAAAATTGTATGCAGAGCAGTCATATTTTGCGAAAAATGGCCCAGGGCTTTTGTAAACATCTTTCTAACAATTCAAACTGGCCAAAAATAGGAAAATGTACCCTGTGAGATACTAAATTCTTCTTCACCAAAAGTATTGTAGCAGAAGATGGATAACAGTCTTGATTCATAAAAATGCATTCCAATATTTAGAGAGCACCCTGTTATATCACTCAGAGTATAATCTGTCACAGCTTTTTGAAGGAAAATTGATGATGTCTATCAAAATTTTGAAAGAATATACACTATTATTTAGCCATTTAATTTCTATGAATCTATACTACAATAATCCTCACACAAATTTCTGAAGCATATATTGACAAGGATGTTCACAATTAAATTATTTGTAGTAGTAACAAATTCAAGATAAGACAAACGTCATCAGTAGTGGAATGGTTAAATAAATTGCTTGTCAATTCTGTGAAATATGATGCCATCATTTAAAATAGTGAGGTAATTAATAAGAAGTTATATAGAAATTACTAAGTACCAGACACTATCCTAAGTGCTTTCAAACAAAGTCATTCAATAAGGACTCTATGAGATTGGTGCTATTACTGGCATTTGCATTTTATATATGATTGCAACTGAGAAGTTAAGTAACATGCTTAACTTAACTGCTTACTGTTACTTAATATGTTAAGTAACAGAAAAGAGCTAGAAAGAATAGGATCTAGACCAGACCCAAGTGATACG